TTTTCTGCTGAAAGAATAGGAACCTCTTGGAGAAGTCAAGGTGACCCTGTGAAAACAGTACTCCCAGTTCTAGAACTGAAACTTGATGTCTCCTGGGGTCAAAATTTAGTCCTGGGTCCTCCCTAGGAACAACCTTCTCTCAGAGGGAGAGAAGGAAATACTGTGCCCCAGACTCCAATACAAAACTCTGGGGGTGTCAAGGACTTAATCTGAGTGTGGACCATCTGTACCAGAAAGGCCTGGGTTCCACTCTAACATCATGGCCTGTTATGAGGTTGATCCCATCAAGAATAAGGAGCCAAAAGAAAGTCCAGTTTCCTTTCCAGGGCTCAAGCTACCCAATTTTACCTATGCCCACAGCCAGTTTTTTGGGTTGTTGTTTTTGGTTTTTTTTTACAACTCGGACAAAGGAAAAAAATCAAGATAAATTGACTTATACACTAAATCTTACAATAATTTTCACCTTTAAAAATCTTCTAATATGTGATACTTCCTCCTTTTGCTGCAATCACTTGTTTTACAAGATTTGGCATTGATTTCACAAATTCTGGTACCTGTAATTTCTTAATTCTACATCATGAAGCCCATCATCACACAGAATATTAAAAGCAATGTCTGACGAACAGTATACTTTCCACGTCTAGCCTTGATTAGAGCATATAGGTGTTCCCTTTTTCCACCTTTGTTGCTGTTTTTTAATTAATCTATCCCACACATTACCCTCTGCTTTGAGCAATTAAAAACAAACAAAAAACAAATAAAGCCCTCAATTCATAGCTGCATAGTCCAGCATAACAAATTCCCACGTTGGCTGTGTCCAAAAGGGTATGTCTCTCTCTGCATTTTAAGTTCATCACCTCTCTGTCAAGAGGTGAGTGGCATATGTATCATATTTGGTCTTTTGGACTCATGATTTATCATTGATCAGATCAGAGTTCTAAAATCTTTCAAAGCTGTTTTTCCTCTAAAATGTTATTACTGTAAAAATTGTTCTCCCAGCTCTTTTCACTTTGCTCTGTATCAGTTCAGAGGTCTTCCCAGGTTTCTCTGAAACTATCCATTTCACCATTTCTTATGGCAAAATAGCATTCCATCATATTCACATGCCACATTTTATTCAGTCATTCCTCAATTTTCCCCTACCAAGAAAAGAGGCTGATTCTATTTTTGTTCATATAAATTCTTTGCCATCCACATGGTGGTTACATGCGGTTACGTGGTGGTTACATAGTGGTTACAACATGTGCCTTTGACTCAGCTTTCCCATCACTTCCTTCTTCCCTCCTCCCCTCCTCAAACCATCAGTGCAACTCAGAAAAACAATAGAGAAGGGGTGTCAGGCTCCCCCTTCCTTTAAATTACCCCCAAAACCCCTATCAATTTCCCTTCTCCAACAAAAACCAGGAAACTTGGACTGTGCCCAGATAAACAACATCCTGTAGGGGAATTTGGGGGTCAAGGAGAAGGTGGGATGGATACCAAACCCCATCAGGCATTCCAGGCATGAGGGACCACCTGTGCCCAATTCTATCTGTGGACCCCTTCTTCCACTCAAATCCTCATGCTCTTGCCTGGCCTACTGGGGAAAATTGGAGAGATCTAGGAGACACCATAGGAGACCCAGGATGGAGGGATCTACTCCAAATACTGTTGGCTGGGAGAAAGATAAGATCCCAGGAAGCGCAATACTAACCTTCAATCTAACCCTAAGCACTGACTGCAAACATTAACCCTCCCTCTAAACTTAAAGCTTATCTTAAATGTCAACCTAAACTCTAAACTCTGATCTAGTCTTGCACATAGTAAGTGCTTTATAAATGGTGAACTATTTTTGTTAAGGGCGTCCTTAACATCCTTAACCCATGCGGTCGCCTAGGTTCAAAGTCTTGGGAGTCAGCCTTCACTTTTCCTCGTCTCTCACCATGTTTGATCAGTTGCCAAATCCTTCCAATTCTGCCTGCACAATATATCTTACCACACGTCCGTTTCCTCTCTAGCCACACAGCCACCACCCTGGACGGCCCTCATTAGCTTTTACTTAGACAACCGCAATAACCACCCTATTGTTTCTCATCATTCCCTCTCCCACAGATACTCCACACAGCAGCCAGATTGGTCTTCTTAAAATACAGATCTGACCATGTTATTCAAGAATCTTTAGGGGCTCCCTTTAGTCTTTAGAATTACAGCTAGGTGGAATTGTAAAATGCCTGGAGTCAGGAAAACGAGTTCAAATTCTGCCTCAGACACTTATTAGCTGTGTAACCTTTGGTAAGCCGCTTCAACTCTATCTGCCTCAAGTTTCCTCATCTCTAAAACGGGGATAAAAATGGCATCTACCTCCCAGGGTTTCTATGAAGAACAAATGGGATAACACAGGGCAAGTACTTTGAGCTCTAAATAAATATTCTCAATTATTATTATTTAGAATAAAATACAAAGTCATCAGCCTCTCTACAATCTCACTCCAGTCTGCATTTCCCATCTCATTTCATTTTACGCCTCTCCTATGCCCTCTGTTCTGGTCAGGCTCTCTTGATAGCTGTCTATCCCCTTTGCACAACATTCCATCCCTAATTTTGTGCCTGGGCACAGGTGGTCCCTCATGCCTGGAATGCACTCGCTCTGGACCTCTGTCTCATCTTCAAATCCCCAGCTTCTTCCAAAGCCCAGCTCAGGTGCCACCTCCTCCGACATGCAGCTTTTCCCGACTTTCCCTCCTCCCCCAATTGATGGTGCTCTCTCTCTTGTGAAATGACTTTGAATGATTGTTGTGTTTACTGAATCTGTGTACATATTGTATTGCCTTAGAAAAATAGGAGCTTTTTGAGGGCAGGGTCATTTCCCTCTGTTCTTTGCCTCCTCATTGCTTAGTATATTGCCTGACACATAGCAGGTGCTTAAGAAATGTCAGTTAATAGTCAATAAGCATTTAATAAGCCCCTACTTTGTGCCAAGTACTGTGCTAAATGCTGGGAATATGGGAAAAAGGCAACAAACAGTCCTTGCTTCTGAAGGGCTCACAGTCTAATGGGGGATAACATGCAAATGATTATGTACAAACAAGACATAAACAGGGCGAATTGAAGATAATCAACTGAGGGAAGGGACTAGAATTAAAGGGGATCAGGAAAGGCTTCTTGTAGAAAGTGGGATTTTAGCTGAGATTTGAAGGAAGTCGGGAAGCAGAGATGAAGAGGGAGAGAGATCCAGGCATGGGACACAGCAAGGAAAATTACCTGGAATCAGGAGATGGAGGGTCTAACGCTAAGAACAGCAAGACCTTTGTCACTGCATCACAGAGTAGATGGAAGGGTGAAAGAATAAGAATATTGTAAAGGTAAGAAAGGGGTGGTTTATGAAAAGCTTTAAAAGTCAAACAGAAGACTTTATGTTTGATCCTGGAGGTAACACGTAGCCAGTAGAATTGATTGAAGTTGGGGAGAGGGGAAGGGGGTGTCTCATAGTCAGACTTGCACTTTAAGAAGATCCTTATCTTCTAAAAATTCATAAGAATGCAAGTCATTCTCCAATTGATAAACGGTCAAAGGATATGAACAGACAGTTCTCAGATAAAGCCATCTATAGTTATACGAAAAAATGCTCTAAATCACTATTGATTAGAGAAATGCAAATCAAAACAACTCTAAGGTCCCACATCACACCTATCAAATTGGCCAAGGTGACAAAACAGGAAAATGATAAATGTTGGAGAAGATGTGCGAAAATTGGAACATTAATGCACTGTTGGTGGAGTTGTGAAATGATCCAACCATTTTGGACAGCAATTTGGAACTACGCCCAAAGGGCTATAAAAATGTGCATACCCTTTGACCCAACAATAGCACTTCTAGGGCTACATCCCAAAGGGATCACACAAATGGGAAAAGGACCCACATGTACAAAGATATTTACAGCAGCTCTTTTTGCGGTGGCAAAGAATTAGAAATTGAAAGGATGCCCATTAATTGGGGAATGGCTGAATAAGTTGTGGTATATGAATGTGATGGAATACTATTGTTCTATAAGAAATGATGAACAGGCTGACTTCAGAAAAACCGGGAAAGACTTGTATGGTCTGATGCTGAGTGAAGTGAGCAGAACCAGGAGAACACTGTACACAATAACAGCCACATTATGCAATGACTAATATTGATAAACTTAACCCTTCCTAGCAATACAAGGATTGAAGACATTTCCAAAGGCCTCATGATGGAAAATGCTATCCACATCCAAAGAAAGAACTATGGAATTTGAATGCAGATCGAAGCATACTGTTTGCTACTATTTTTTCTTCTGTTGTGTTTTGTTTCCTCTTTCTAGTGGTTCCTCCTATTCGTTCTAATTCTTACTTACAACATCACTAATGTGAAAATATGTTTAATAGGAATGTATATGTATAGCCTATAGCAGATTGTGCACCATCTTGGGGAGGGTGGTAGGAAGAGAGGAGGAGAAAAATTTTAAACTCAAAGGCATATGGAAGTGATTGTTGATAATCAAGAAAATTAATTTAAAAATTAAAAAAACAAAGACGATCCTTATCACAGGTGTTTTGCTGGAGTGAACTAAATTGTTGAATCCTGACCTTTACTCAAACCCTTCCTCTAACCCTAACCTAACCCTTCTACCCTTAATCAAGGACCTGACCCTGACAATGGAATGGATTGCCACCACAGGCTCTTTGACAGACACTAGAGGACTCCTGTCAGGGAAGTTGTAGAAGGAAACTAAGCAAGGTCACTACCAGCCCTGCAAGACCCTAACACTGCTTGGTGTTTCTAGTAGCCTTGGCCCTAACCACAACAGACACAAGAGAAGAACTGGGAAGAAGAGTAAGATTGGGAGGAGGAGAGAACTCGTGCATTTTTTTTATGCTCAGTCCATATTCTTTTAGGGCTCACTCTCCCATGCCTGAGCATAATAGAGGGAAGAGGGACAGGGAGATCACTCAGACAGCCCTGAGTTTTCTCCTCTTTTCTAATTCTGGGGATTTCTAGGAAAGCGTGAGTGCAGGAAGAAGAGGAGGAGAAGGAAGAAGAAAGCCTTATGGTGGCTTTCCGGGCAAAGGCCCCGCCCTCCCTCCCTTTAGTCATTCTCCCCCACTACAAAACCAGGCTATAGCCTCCAGAATTCTGATGGAGCTGGAGGCCAAGTGGAACGGCAGCTCAGAGCAAGTGGAATTCAGCAGGATGTCCCCAAGAAGCCAGGGTGAGGGCATATGTTTGAAGGGGGGGGGGGGGGTAGGGTAGGGAACAGGAGGGACTGGGAATACTGGAGATGACTAAAAGCTAGCTGTGCTGTACCTCCTGCCTTCTTCTCTCCTCCCAGTGAACCCCAGGCTCTTGGCATTCAGTGGGCTTTCTAGGGCCTGATGGCTGCCAGAGTATGAGGTGACTGAGCCCCATGGGATGGCATCCTTCTAAGACTCAATTTCCCCGATCAGGCTATCTGAGCCTGGTCAGACGTTCCCCAGGTACCCCATCTTCTGATTCTTGGGTAGATCAAAGATCATAGATTTTGAGTGGAAGAGTCCTTAGAGGTCACCAATTCCAACCTCCTTCACTTTACAGATGAGGAAACCAAAGCTCAAGGAAGTTAAGTGATTTGCCCAAGGTCACAGCTAGTATCTAAGGCAGAATTCCAAATGAGGTCTTTCTGACTCCAAGTTCATCTCTCTGTTATAACACTAGTGATTAGGAAGGGAGCAGGGAAAGAAAGGAGAGAAGAATCCTATCTCTTCTCTGGACTTCAGTTTACTCATACATAAAATGAGAGGTTTTTACTAGAATAATCTCTAAGGCTCTCGCCCCTAGGATCCTATGACAAAAACAAAGGCATTCCAGACATGAAGAGTTAAGAGGGGAGAGGAGAATTTAGGATACAGAAATGGAGAGACAGGGCAGTATGCTCTTAGAGAATAGGGTTTGGGATATGGAAACACAGGGAAATGAGGTCACAGGGTCACAGATTTAGGGCTGAAAAGATCCTCAGAGATCATCTAGTCCAACCAATTCATTTTACAGATGAATAAACTGAAACCCATAGAGGCTGTTTTGATAGTAAACATTTATATAGTCTATTGAGATTTGCAAAGCATTTTGTAAATATTATTTCATTTGATCCTCACAACAACCTTGTGAGGTAGGTACTATTATTATCCTCATTTTACAGATTAAAAAGCTGAGGCAGACAGAGGCAAAGTGACTAGCCCAGGATCACACCTAAGAAAGATGCAAGGGCAAGATCTGAACTCAGAATTTTCTAACTCCTACTCTGTCTCTCTATCCACTAAGTCATCTAGCTAGTATAAGTTCACACAGGTAATAAATAAGCAGTAGCACAGACACCAGAGTTAGGCACATGGGATAATGGAGAGATAAGGAGAGGTTTTAAAGGACTTTAGAGACCAGAGTATGGAAAGATGCAGAATATGAGAATGGAGCTGAGCACATATATGAGCAGAGCATGAGAATGGTGCATGCTTGTAATCCTTGCTGCTAAGGAGGTCTGAGGATGGTTAATAGCTTGAGCTTAGGAGTTCTGAGTTACAATGAGCCAAGCCATCAGGTATCTAGACTAAGTCCTGCACCAGTATGGTGAGCCCCCAGTAGCAAAGGGCCACCAGGCTGCTTAAGGAAGGTTGAACAGGCTCAAATCAAAAAAAGAGCAGGTCAAAGCTCCTGTGTCGATGTGTATACATGTGTATATGTGTGTATATATACGCATGCACACACATACATATTCCTATCTATATGAATGGGGAAATAGATATAGAGTAGATGGACATATAAATGGTATAGATATAGCTGATATAGACATAAATAGATGAGAATGGGGAGATTCAAGTATGGAAGATAGAGGGAAGGACAGATCCAGGAGTTGGAGAACAGAGGGCTAGACCTTCCTAAATGGAATGGGCTACCCCTTCGCTGGAGGTCTCCAAGCAGAGCTGTTGGAGAACCATTTGTCTGGTACATGATAGCATAAATCCTTGAGTGTGGGTTGCCCTAGATGGCCTCCGTGGTCCCTTCAAATTGTAACATTCTGTGATTCCATGATTCTAATTGTGTGATGAAAGGTGGTAGGGGGTTCAAGTAGGGAACCAGTCAATGAAGGTAGGATCAGAATCGGCAGGCAATAGGAAAGGAGTAGGGAGGGGAGAATCATCACGGGATTTGGGGCACTAGGGCTGAACCAGCCTCAGGGAGGTTGGAAGTAGCAGAGACTGGGGCTCCAGCGATGGAGACAGAAAAGGGCAGGAAGGCATGTGGCCGCCCCAGCTCTTCACCTCGGAGCCAATAACTAAGGGAACAGTCACACAACGAGCATCTCTGGGACTCAAGGGCGTGGGCCCATAACACCAAGCTGACAGGGTCACACAGTAGAGTACGGTATTTGATGTCAGAGGTGGTTGGTGTTGCTGTTCAGTTGTCCGGTCACATCCGACTCTTTGTAACCCCATGGACCGCAGCATGCCAGGCCCTTCCATTCTCCACTCTTTCCAAAAGTCTCTCCAAGTTCATGTTCATTGTTTCCATGACACTATCTATCCATCTCATTCTCTGCCATCCCCTTTCCCTTTTGCCTTCAATCTTTCCCAACATCAGCATCTTTTCAAATGGAGTCAGAGGATTTGGGTTCAAATCTTACCCTGACAGACACTGAATACTTACCTGACCACGAACAAGTCACTTTCTTCATCTGTAAACCAAATCTGCATTTTTGTTTCTATATCCTCAAGGTCTAGCATAGTGCAGGAGCTTAGTGGTCTAGCATAGCGGTAGGAGCTTAACAAATGCTGGCTGAATTCAATTCTGTCCTGAAGGAACCCTTCTAATGGGCCCTCCCTACTGGCCGGCCTCACTCAGGGTCGCTTCACCTGCCTAAGGAACCCTGAGTCTTGGACTCAAGAGGAAAGAGGCTGAGGTCAGGGCTGCCACGGCCCAAGACGTAAGTCCAGTGCCAGACTAAGTCACAGGACAGAGAGCCAGAGCCTCACTTCCCAAAACCCACTGTGTCTAGACCATGTTTCCCCAAACCCGTCCTTCCCATCGTCCTCCTGTCTTCTTCCCTTGGTTCCCAGGATTCACTAAGCTGCCTGGCCAGAAGACCTGTAGGAAGACTGTACTTCTCTTTATCTTTGTGCTGCTGATCTCCGTGGCTCTATGGGGAACACTTCTATTCTTGTTCCTAACTCGGTGTAAGAATATCTCCCCCCACTCCCCCCACTCCAGGCCCTCTGGTCCCCTACTTCTTACTCCAGGACTCATTCTTCAAACCATTAACCTGAAAACCCAATGAAAAGGGCTCAAAAGCGATGGGAATGGGGTGAAGGTGGCAGTGGGGGTGGGAAAGTTGGGCCAGAGGAAGGGGGATGTAAAAAAAGGTGAGCACTCATATTGCCCTGATTCCTCTAGTCAAAGAGATAGCCCAGGACTTGGAGAAGCTGCAGGAGTTCTGTGCGTACCACAATGGTATGTATATCACCCAGTGGGACCCTAAGATGTTGTATCCCCCTTCTCAGTCCTGGACCCAAAGATCTCAACTGACTCTCAGCCTTACCCTATGATTCTCTTTTATTTTCCAATACCAACCCCACCCCATTACCTCCCAGAATCACAGAGCACACAACCAATACATTTTGCAGATGAGGAACTTGGGCCCCTAGAGAGGAGTGAATGGGGGGATATGACTCATCCAAGGCCACACAACTAAGAGTGGCAAAGCTCAGACTAGAACTCAAGTCTTGGGACTCTTCAGCTCTGGGTGCTTTTCACGTTCCTCTTACCCAGGCTTGTAAAACCCAGAATGACTCTGTACCCTTGTAAGGAATGACCTATTAATCCTGAAATAACCCCTGATCCATAAAAATCACACCCCCTCCCCGGGACTACAGAATGAATTCTTGGGTAGATGATCTCCTGGAATGTCACCCCACCCTTTATCTTGTGGAATGAACCCTCTGGCCCAGCCCCTGACTTTCTCCTCTCTTCTCTCAGACTCTGGGATTGTGACGATCATTAGTCAGCTACAGAGGGATCAGTGGAACCTCAAAAACAATGGTGAGTCTCAGGCTGGGTGTATCTGGCGTCATGCTGGATGAATGGGTCTCAGCCAGAGCCCTGAGGGTTTATGGAAGAACAAGGGAAACTGCTCCATGCCAACATGAAGGCCAGGAAGTCAATATTAACACCAGGCTGAGGAGATGGCACATGAGAGCTGGGGGAGGGGGCAGTGTGGAGAAACTGAGGAATTCCCTTCCCCTCTCTGAGCCCACATGACAGAGACAAGTCATTCTGCCCTACCAGTCCCTGAGACATCCCATGGTATAATGAATTGACACAGAGGATATAACTTCACCAATCTCTTTCCCATACCACCAAGACCTGTGAGGAGAGGCCGGACTCTCTCTCCATCTCTCCTCAAAAAAAGACCTGGAGATTTAGTGGACCATGGATTAACAGTGTGATATGACATCCAAAACAATGAACATGTTCTTAAGCTGCATTGAGAGAGCTCTAGCATCCAGGGTGGCTGGTGGTGCTATTCTGCGTCCCACTGTGCTATCCGGATCAGACCTCATCAGTATTATGTTCCAAATGGGTGCCACCATTTGGGAAAGACACTGACTGTCTTTCTGGCAACTGTCTCAGAGAGCAGCAAGAACAGTGTAGGACCTCGGTTCATGCCCAGGAGGATTAGTTGAAGCAAGTGGGAATACCTAACGTGGTGAAGAGAAAAGGGAAATTAAAAGCTGTCTTCAAGCACCTGCAGAGTTGTCAAATAGAGAGAGAAGAGACTTACTCTGCTTGACCCTGAAGGCAGAACCAGTAGTGGAAGCTAGAAATTACAAAGAGGCAAATATGGTTGTCCCAAACTGAAATGGACTACCCTTAGAAGCCCTCTAGAGGTCTTCTACCAGAGATGAAAAGCCCACTTATTGGAGACAGAGCAGGCAAAGTGATTTCTGTTCAAGTAAAGAAATGGACTATGAGGTCCCTTTCAAATACCTGGCCCTGGGTGGGAACTAGGACTACAGACCTTCTATCCTGGAGGCAGCATCCATCCCCAAGACCAACCTTGTTCTCACTTTCCCTTGAAGTCCCTCAGCTCTCCAAGGCCCTGAACAAACTCCAGGAAGACCAAACAACCATGAAATCTAAAGGTGAGAAAGTCCCATGATGGGAAGGTGGCCTTTTGCTGAGGACAAGGTATGAGGAATCTTTGCCTTCCTTGGTAGCAAGGGCAAACACCTGAGCTTTCCCAAGACTCCTTGATCATGACTTTATACCTTTGGGCCCCAAAGCTTGGCACCAGCCCCTGAGCTGGTTCGGTCTCTCAATGGGATGAGGCAAAAGTGTAGAAAAGCAGAGGCCCAGAGGCATCAGCCCTGGAGAAGAGAGGAACCATGAGTCAATTCAGAGAAATGTGTTTAGGAGTTCACCTGTGGTGGCCTCCAGGCTCCACAGAGGATCACAGGACAAGGAACTGAGGACAGGGAAACTCAAAGACCCTTTGCCCAGAAGGGAAAATTTGCCTCCACAAACTGACCCTGTTCTTCAAATGTCAGTTTTCCAAGACCCTGAAGGAACTACCAGCTGAATAGATAGCCTTAAAATCTCAGGGCTTAGAGACATAGGGGATGTCAAATAGGGGAAGGGGTAATATAGTGGCTGGAGGAATACAGAAGATGAGAAACAATGGATGTGGGAAATGAGGACCCTAAGGAACATAAGATATAAGGGAGGGAGCCCTTGGAGATGGGAAATACGAAGGGAGGTTGTCCTGAGAGATGTGAGGGATGGAGGTCCTAGGGAGATGGCGGTTTTGTGGATTATCCCTTTGCCTAAGATGAACAGTTCTCCCTTCTTCCATTTCCTCACCCTAGCCTCTCAGATCGATCAACAACTGGACAGACTTGAAGCTGACAAAACAGCCTTCAAGTCCCAGGGTGAGAAGATGGGAATAGAGGAGGAGGGTTGTGGGAAGAGAAGCTTGTGGGAACACAGAACCAAGTCCTGAAGGAAAGGGACAGAAAAAGGGGGAGGAGTGGAAAGATGAAGTTGATCCCAGAAAGACGTCAATCTTAAAGGCTGCTCTCCCATTCCCAATGTCTCTGATACCCGCAGTGCTGAATGAGAAGAACACTGCTACTCAGGCTCGGGAAAAACTGCAGGAAGAGATCGAGAAGCTTTGGACTGAATTCCAAAGGGCAAATGGTGAGAAGGCAATTGGTGAGGGTGGGATCTTTCCCTCCAAGCTTCACCCACTCAGTTCCCTTTTACTCCTCCACATAGTCCTTTTCTCAAAGCTGAATAATCAGAGCCTTAGACTCCTTAGACCCTGGGGAGTGGGGCCAAAGCTTCAACTCCACCCTTCAGCCTTTCTGGATTTATCAGTAGAGTTTCTGTGTTACCATCTCTATCTTCCTTTCTCATTTTCTACCACACCTCACCCTGCTGTCCTCTCCACTCAAAGATCCCAGTCTCAGACTCCAAAGGTAGAACCTTCCAAGGTTTCTAATCCAAACTCTCTCTCAGGATAGGAATCACTTCTACAGCCTCGCCAACAACGGGTTGTCTAGCCACTGTCCAAACAAACTCATCCACACTTAATATTTTAGTGATGATGGTAGCGATGCTGGTAGTAGTTGGTGGTAGCGCTGGCGATAATGGTAATGATGGTGATGGCTCCTCTGCCTAGGATGGAGAGTTCTCCCCTCTTCCCCCTCCCCAACCTCCACTGCTTCTCAGCTCTCCCAGGGACTGGACAGGCTTGAAGAAGACCACACAACCATGCCAACTCAGGGTGAGAAACTAAGAACATTGATAATGTTGGTGGTATTCATAGTCACGACGGTGTTGATGATGATGTTGATGGTGGTGATGTTAATGGAGACAATGGATCATGATATGGTGGAGGAGTGCTAGTGATGCTGGTGATGGTGACATTGATGACGGTAAAGAGATTGAAACAATGATGGTGGTGCTATTATCGGAGACAATGGCAAAGCTGATGAAGTTAATGGTTGTGATGTTGCTACTGATGGAACTGGTAATGGTGATGATGATGGTGACACCTTTGGTGATGTCGACAATGAGAGTGGTGGTGATAATGGAAGTTATAATGATGATGGTATCAGTGATGTTAATAGAGGTATTAGACAATGGCAGGTAGTAGTGGTAGTGATTGTTGGTGACAGTGGAAGGGGAAAAGGGAACCAACATTTATATAGCACATACTATGTGCCAGGCACTGTCCTAAGCCCTTTACAAATACTATCTCACTTCATCCTCATAACAATCATGGGAGGTCCTATTATCCCCATTTTACAGTGAAGGCAAACAGAGTGACTTACCCAGGGTCACACAGCTAGTAAGCGTACGAGGCTGGATCTGAACTCGTCTTCCTGACTCCAGGTCCAGCTCTCTATCCACTTTGCTACCTGGTGGAAGTGGTAGTGGTGAAGGTAATAAAGACAATGATGATGGTGGCAGTGATTGAGGTTGGTGATGACACTGATTGTGGTAGTGATATTCATAATGACTATGGTAATGGTGGAGATGATAATAATGGTGATGGTGAGAGTGGTAATGACAGTGGAGGTGAGGATGTTAATGGCAATCAACCATGGTGATGGAGTGATGTGATGGGAGTGATGATGGTGATAGCTTCCAAGCTTCTTTCCAATGATAAGATCTATGCTTCGCTCCTTATCTTAGGCTCCATTTGCTCACAAGAAAAAATACTGAAGGTGGCCATGAGTGGTGGCTGGAAGCTCCCTATGCCCTGACTCCTTTGCTTGCCTCTTTCTCTTGCTATAGGCTCTGTCTGTACAAATTGCCCAGAAGACTGGCAACTGTTCCAGAAAAAATGCTACTTTTTTGGGAAGGAGTCCAAGACATGGTCCCAGGCCAAGTTTGCCTGCATCAACCTTCAGGGCCGGTTGGTTAGCATCAAAAGCAAAGAGGAGCAGGTAGGACATCTCAAGGCCTGAGATTCAAGGAGGGGCTGAGCTGAGCTGAAAAAGGGAAGCTGAGTGACCAGAGCAGGTTCCAGGCTAGGGCCCTAGGTGGATCCCTCCTAGAGTACAGAAGGTTTAGTAGGGACTAAGGGCCCAGACCTGGGAAGAAGCTCCAGGGATGCTTCCCTCCCTTTTCAGGGGGCTGGACTGATGGGTTTGGAACGAAATGGCTCTACTTGCAGGAAAAGATTGTAAAAAGGATGTCTGATGCCCCAGGAGGTGATGGGTCCTACAGGAGGCAAGCCTGGGGACCCAGATATCCTGTCCCCTACCCTCAGGGGCTTTAACCAATTGCTTGACCTTCCTTCAGGCCTTCCTAACCCAGAAGGCCAGCCAGAAGGGTTCCTGGATTGGCCTCCGAGATCTGGACACAGAGGGCGAGTTCACATGGGTGGATGGGAGTCCCCTGACCTACAGGTGAGTTGGGGGAAGGTCCAAGGAGGTGTGATGGAGTGGAAACTCAAAGCCAGGGCCGTCAGGCAATTACAGTGTCTCTCTGTCTCCGTCTCTCCCCCGCCCCCTTTCTCTTTCTGGAAATTATCTGCTTTTCAGCAACTGGAGCCCAGGGGAGCCCAACAACGAGGGTGAGGGGGAGGACTGTGTGGCAATGCGTGCCTACAATGGCCGTTGGAATGATGCCTACTGTCGGGGGCAACAGGATAGCTGGATCTGTGAGAAGCCAGCCACATGCTGACCATTGACCATGGCCAACGGCCTACAACCTGAGGCTAGCAACCAGCTTTAGCCCTGACATGGCAGGGTCAAAAGGTTTCTTATTTCTCATCAAGAAGGAACAGGAAGGAATTCCCCTCCTAATTCCGGACCTGAAACTTTATGTCCCTGATCCTGCATCCTGGGCCAGCTTCTGGCCCTCCCATTCCCTTGGCTCTCTGCCCTACTCCAGGCCTTCCTACTCCTGGACTAGGGCTTAAACCCCAAACCCCAAACCCTCAGTCCCCAGGCCCTTCCCTGAGCTGGGAAGGAACAACAACCCTCGTCCCAGCACTTTCCCTGAGGCTGAAGGAAAGGCCAGACCTCCAGTCCCAACCTTCCCTGAACTCTAAGCCTTCCATCCCAGGATGCCCAGATGCTCACAATCTTACCTGCTTCCTCACCCACCAAAGATTCTTGGATAGAGTTTCCAAGGTATGCCGGGGAAAGCTGATTTTGTTCTGGCTCTTCCCTTCCTCCCACTCTGCCCCAGTGGGTCAAAGAATGGGGTCAACTTCATACTGTTTTTCTCTCAAGAGAGGAATTGTGTCCATAGGCCAGGTCAACAGCAGCCTACCAGTGACCTGGGAAGCTTGGGTTTTTTCTCATGTTTTCTGCAAACAGAAGCCTCCTGGGTTACTCTCACCATCTCTGGTCCTGACCTCTGTTCCAAAGCAGCCACCCCATTCATAGATGGGAGCACTAGGGCTTCGAGCCCAGCCTATGGCACAATAAAGGTCTAGGACCGCACACCCACCTGAGCCACAGCCAAATCTAGTTCTGACAGGCCAAGTTCCAAATTCCCCACCTGTTCCCTACCCCCACCCCAGCAGAACTCATTCCCCAAGTCACTTTTGCTCTCTGTCCCTCAGCTCCACTCTTAGGCACACAAGGTTCTCTGGGGTTATCATCAAATCCTGGTCCTTGGTGTCTCCAGGAAGCTTGAAAGAGCAAAATCTATTTATAGAATAATCAGTTATCTGCCACTCACAGGATCTGGAGATGGGTGGGCCCTTTAATCTCTTCATCTTACATTTAGGGAAAACGTGGCCCAGAGATAAGTGATTCACTCAGGGTCTGTAGGTAGAAATACGTGGCAGAGCTGAGATTGGAGCCGAGTTCTTTTGACTCCAGATCCCAGGCTTTCTCCCCATAGCCTGTGCAGATGCCCTTTTCACTAGTCTGGCCCAGGTCCTGTCCGTCCGTGTCCACCCTCCCCCACCAATGCATGAGGTTCAGAAGCTCACAAGCCCTTTAAGCTTGCTAGCCAGGGCAGCCTGCCAGGGCCCACTACAGCCTTGCTGGACAAGTCTCTCTCTTTCTCTGACCCTCAGTTTTGTCTCATTGGCCAGAAAGCTTTTAAAGGCCCCTTCTGGCTCTAAATCCTGTAATGCAGCACTCTCTATGGGATCTTCGCAGCGGAGTCTAGACTAACTCCTTAACAAACCAGCTCCTTTATCACTTAAAGAATTAGTAGGGGCAGCTAGGCAGTGAAGTGGATAGAGCACCGGCCCTGGATTCAGGAGGACTTGAGTTCAAATCCGGCCTCAGACACATAACACTTACTAGCTGTGTGACCCTAGGCAAGTCACTTAACCCCATTGCCCCCCCCCCAAAAAAGAATTAGTCACAGCTTCCCACAGCTTCTCTGGGAGCTCTTCCAGGGCTGCTCACAGAAGAGCTGCTTTGCCAACGCCCTGGCCCGTGTCCAGCCCATGAACTCCCACAACTACTTTCCCAGGCTTGTTTTTGCCCAAATGAAGGAATGAGCCTGACACTCTCTCCTCCCAGCCCCAGAATGTAGCACATTCCCAGTACAAACTAGTCTCATTTCTGCATCTATTGACAACAAAAGCCTCCTGTTGTTTTATTCTGAATTCTCCTCAGCTCATTGATTCAACAAACTTTCATCAGGGACATCCTGTGTGCAGGGCACAGCAGCCTCTCTAATGAGAAACTTGGGGCTGGGATTTCATTACCTTGGTGCTGGGTTTGGCTCCCTCACTCCTCAGGCCCCCAGCTGCCCAGACACATTCAGAGAAAAAGAGCTGTCAGAAAGGACCACAATCTGACTGAACTACTGACTGGGGATCCTTCCAAGCTGCCTATGTTCACGCTGACGCAGGGGGACCTTCCCCACAGGCACATAAGGGCCTAATCCTCAGCTTGGAAGTTCTATCCACTCTTCTGTTCCCCATTCAGTCTTCAGGGGGGCTCACTGGCATAAGGCCAAGAGTAAGTGCAGGAGCCCTTGGACTCTATCAGCAAGGAGCTCGGGGGTGGGGCTGACCATGAGTACAACAAAAGACTTAGGCCATTTGAACATGTCCATGGAAATAAAGCCATTAACTAACACTAGAAGGGGCTTAAAGATCAGCAAATAAAACCCCTCATTTTGAAAAGAGAGAAAAAAGGCCTACAAAGGGTCACAAAGTGGGTGAGTGACAGAGCCAAGGTTTGACATCCCAGGCCTAACTGCCATGTTGCCAATGACTTGCTGTACGAGGATGCTTTCCCTCTCCGGGGATCAGTTTCCCATGTGGGAGCTGGTCTCGGATGGTCTCGGAGGGAAAGGTCCTACATATATAAAAGTATTTAATTATAGAGGTAATTTTTACAGTAGCAAAACTCTGGAAAAAGCAGGTGCCCATCAACTAAGATATGGCTGAACAAACTATGGTATGTGAATGCAACTGAATATTTTTGTGCTATAAGAGATGAAAATGAAGGATTTGGAGAAATCTGAGAAGGCTTATATGAGATAATGCAGTAAGAAGGGAGGATAACCACGAGAATAAAACTCTAAATATGTAGGTAAAGGAAAAGCAACCAAAGGCATCAGAACTCTGTATCCCAGGGATCTGTCCTCACCCCATCACCCTTTCCTCCTTTCTCCCTACCCACTATCTAAATTCTTGATTATCGCATGAGTTCCAATAAGTTCTACTATTATCTACATGCATGCGGTTCCCAAATCTACCTGTCAAGTTCTCATCTATCTCCTGAGCTCCAATCCTAACCAATGACCCTCAGAGTGTCCCCCAACCTTAATGACCTATCCCACCACAATCTCAAACTCACTAAGTCCTAAACAGAACTCATCTTTCTCTCTAAGCCCATCTACCCCTTCTTCTAATTCCCCTCCTGTCCAGGGCACCACCAAACTTCTAGGCACACAAGCTCATAAATGGAGGTCATTCTCAATTCTTCATGCTCCCTCACCCCATACATTCAATGACCAAGTCTTGCTGATCCTACTCCAGTACCATCCTTCACATCTGATCCCTTTTCCCCACTGGAAGCTACCCCCCTAATTCAGGCCCTCATCACCTCTCTCCTCAACTACTGCAACAGCCTCCAAATTGGTCTCCCTGCCTCAAGTTTCTCGTTGCTCCAGTCCATCTTCCAAACAGCAGCAAACAGAATAAACCCTAAAGCACAGATCTGACCATGTCACTGCCTGCTCAAAAAGCCTCAGTGGCTCCCTATTGCTTCAAAAATCAAATACAGAGCCCTCCACTCAGCATCAAAAGCCCTTCGAAATCTACCTCCAACCACTCTTTTCATTCTGAGTTGTCATTACACCCCCTCACGTACTACATTCCTGTAAAACCGGCCTTCTGGCATCCCACCGCCATTTCCTTACCTTTTCACAGGTGGCCTAGAACACTTTCTCCACACATCCACCTCTTAAAATGGCTAGATTACTTTAAGGCTGTGCTCCAGCGGCCCCTCCTGTAAGAGGTTTTTCCAGGTTCACCCAATTGTTTGGGTCCCTTCCACCAAAAAAAAAAAATTGCTTTGTATTTTTGTATATATTTTGTATTTAATTACCAGTACATATGTTGGCTCCTCCATTCTACCACCCCCCCAAGCTGACTGTGAGCTCTTGAGGCAAACATTCTTCTTTGTTTGTCTTTGTGCCCAGCTTATCACCGTGCCCGGCACAAAGAAGATTTTTTTGTAAATGTTTAATAAATGCTTATTGAACTGAACTGAATTGAATCACCTTGACAAACCAGGAAATTTAGTCTCCAAAGGACTCATAATGAGACATCCCCCCCTCCTCTGGCAGAGAGGTGGTAGACTATAGGTACAGAATGAGAAATAATTTGTTAGGCACTGCCCATGTGTTGATTTGTTTTGATTAATTAAATTTCTTTGTTACATGGATGACTTCTATTGTGGGGTGGGGAGGGTTCCTTGGGAAATTATAGTTTTGGAGTTTTTTAAAGTCTAGATGGTATTTTAAGCCCCTTCCAATTCTGAGAGTTTCTTAAGTGACAACTGGAGTCTTTAATCCAGGCCTGTGCTTTTCACTAAACACCCAATTAGTCTGGGAAATTAAGCATAGACAGAATGATAATGAGTCACAGGATTTAAAGTTTGACAGGACCTCTGAAATCATCTAATTCAATCCCTTCATTTCACTGCATAAAGGGAGGTCCAGGGAGGGAAAGGGATTTATCCAAAGTCACAAAGATAGAGAAGAGCAGAGTGAGGACAGAAACCTAGCTCCTCCAGCTCATGAGCTCACCAGATTGCTTCCTGGTCATTGCTTCCAATGACTACAATACAGACAGCAGAAGGCTCTCTGTCCTCTGCCTACTTACTCAGCCTACGAACTTTGAGAAGACCAAGGTTCAACCTAAATGGCTCTCCTCAAATGGTGCTAAGCTGGGCATCACAAAGAGGGCATCCAAACAAGGTTTTGTGAAATGAAGATGGCAAGGCCAGCCCTCAACTTCTTGGCAAAGTTCACACCCTTAGCCATCTACTCCCCAAGGCAAACTCAACTATAGCACCCAGAGCTGTGCTGATGATGAGTACAAGAGATGGTTGAGCCCCTCTTCCCATCCACATGGCCCATGACCACTGAAATCTGGGCTGGAACTCCATCCCTGTGCTTTCAGACTCAAATCTCAGGAAACAAAGTACTAAGAACACAGAGAAGGGCAGGAAAAGAAGAGAAGACAGGGAGGCACGGTAAGCTCCGCTTTGTGTGAGGTGACCAAAGAAAGAAAAGGACAACAGATTATCTCCAGGAACACTTAGCTTTAATGTATATCACATTGTTCTAGCAGCAATTCACTGTCCTCAGAGCTCCAAAAGAAATTATGAGCACTGAACTATCACCCAAGACTCAGATGGGTGAGGGGGAAAGGGGCAGGAACTGAAAAGGACAGAAGAATCCTGAGGCGAGACAGGGATTAAACGTTTGACCATACTCTTTCCCTAGAACTAGGATGGAAACCCAAACCTTCTGCCTCTGACTGTATAATAGTTCCTAAAAGGCCAGGCTGGGGTCTGATCAAGGGTATTATCCCTACTCAAGCAGGAGTAGGAACCACTGGAACTGCTCAGTTTCTAGTGCCCAGCCAGTGTGTCATGGGATAGAATCATCTGGGACTTCCCCTTCTCTAGGAAGCAGATATGGAGCCATGGGGACCTCCAAACAGATATCCCCTAGACGTTACTTCTAGAGAAGACATGAGGGTCCAGGCGAGAAGACTGCAGAATTTCTTCAAGGGAAATTTCCTGTCTTCCCTGGCTAGTCTCACCAACTGATTCCTCCTCAACTGATAATGTACAGAAGCCCCTAAACGAGTTCCCCAAGAAAACAGGCAAAGAAGAGTCAAGGGGTAAGAAAATCCAGGTGAAAGGAACTGGACCCTCCCCGCTTCCCACCCCCACTCATCCCCAAACCATCCAGGAGATGACACAGAAACAAAATAAAAAAATAAAAAAACAGGCCAAACCCAGACCATGGAGGTTAGCCTGATCAAGCCTAGAGCCTGAGCCCCTCGTCCCTGAGCACGCCAGGAAATAGACTCCCCGACACCAGAAACTACAGACAGACAAGGTCTGGTGACTGAACGCAGAGAGAGTCAAGAGCCAGGAGAAGTGCTGAGGGTTCACATCATGGTAGAAAGGCTTCGGGCAGGGGAAGGTTGCTCATCTGGCAATGGGAACAATCCAGGAGGACAAAGGACCATGGCTCAAAGGTACAAAGAAGAGCCTGGCCCTCTCATTCCCTAGTCTGTCCTCAGCTCAGCGGCCATCCAGGGCCCGGTCCCGGGCAATGACAGCCTCGTCGAACTTGATCATGAGGGTGGTACCCTTGTGCCAGTGGGCAGTGACCTTGGCAGGGAAGCCACTGTGGGTGAGCACAGCTTCAACTACGCCTGCTGTGAAGCTGGCACAATTAAGCGTGCTGTTCTCCTTGGGCACAGAGATGTAGGTGTTGATGAGTGGTTCACGCTCGATGATGTAATATGTCTTGTCATCATCATTGGCTTGTTCCAGCTTGTCTGCCTCCTTGCCAAAGAGCGCTCGCCACACTGCACCCTTGACAAAGAGCAGTGCACCCAGTACCCGGGTCTCCCGTCGGCCACCCTTCTCCCGAGTGGCCAGGCCATCCAGCACTCGGGCGCCTACCTGCTGACCCAGTTCTGCCAGCCGTGCCTGCAGCTCCGCCACGGAGTACACACGATTCTGGCAATACTGAACCAGCTCCGAGAACAGCAGGGAGAAGGCACTGAGGCTCACCTCTGTCTTGGGCCTCACTAGTGACCGCTCCAGGATGGCCGACTTCCCCCTTGTGAATCGTGCATCCATGGCCTCGAGGCGGTGGGAACGACCTTGGGGGGAGAAGCAAGAGTGTAAGAGAAAGAGCCCTGAGCCGGGAGTCAGATGCCTGCATGCCAGCTCCAGCTCTATCATGAACCCCTATGTGACCTGGGACAAGTCCCTTTCATAGGGAATCACAGACCAAATGGTCATCTAGTCCAACCCATTCCTGAACAAGGCTCCCCAGCACACATCTAGTAAATGATCCCCTGGCCTCTACTGAAGATCTACATGTGGGGAATATATTACCTTCCAAATAAAGGCAGCCCAGGCTACTTTTGAACAGCTCTCATTATTAGGAACTTTTTCCTTACATTGAATCTATATCTGCCTCTCTGAGACTTCTACTCCCTCTGCCTCATTCTGTCATCTAGGGCCAAAAAGAACAAGTCTAATCCCTTTCTCATGTGAAACAAATACACAAAGGACCGGTTCATCTGAGCAACATTACCAAAGAGCCTCTGCCAATTCAGACTGCTGCCCCAGCAGCCTCGGACTTAGTAATTACCAGAGAATTACACGGGGCATACAGAGGAGAGATGACTGACCCAGGATCACACAGCTAGTACTGGAGGTTAGATCTGAATGATGCTGGTGTTCTTGGATTTAATCCCAGCTTTCCACCCACCATCTCATGCTGTCTCTTTGTATGCTCAAAGCCAGGCCTTCCACCAACCCCAAGTCTTCTCTTTTCCAGGCCAAACATGCCCAGTTCCTTCCTCTAATGCCTTCACGGCCACAGTCACTTTCTTTGGACGTGCTCCCACTTGTTACAAGTATTTGTAATTTTCTCAGTGTAAGGTACTTAGAGTGCTAGGAATATGAGCTAGGAATATGACCTTTAGGGAAAAGCCACCAGGACTAGCTTTGGTCAACATGCCAATGTCTTTCCTAAAAAGTATCCCCAGAATATTAGGGATACAATACTACAAATATGGACTGACTAGAGCAGAACTATATCCTTTTATGTCTTTGTATCTCCAGCCTCCAGCATACAGTAGATATTTAATAAATGTTTATTGCATGGATCTCAATTAAACTGAATTCTGGATATTATGCCTCTCAATGAACTCACTTCTGGCTGTCAAATCAGACTGTAACCTCACACTGAGTTTTCAGTTCACTTAAACTCCCATACAAACCACCATCTAACCACATACATCTTCATGGGCCTCAGTTTCATTCTCTGCAAAATGAAAATAATAATATGTACACTACCTGTAGGTGATACAGTGCAAAGAGTACAGGACGTGAAGTCAGGAAGACTTGATATCAAATCCTACCTCAGACACTTACTATCCATGTGACCCTGGGCAAATAAACCAAGAGCTAACATCTTAACTCTCTTTGTCTTAATTTCTTCATCTGTAAAATAGGGAAAATAACAGCACCTACTCCCCAGGGTTGTTGTAAGAATCAAATGAGATACTATAAGTAAAGGGCTTTGTAAAATTCCATTAATGCTAGTTATTAAATCATTATCTACTTCCCAGGATTATTGTAAAGAAAGCATTTTATAAATTACGATTCATTTTTGAAATGCGAACCATGGTTATCATTTATCATTATTATGACCATCATCCTGTGGCGATTCATCTGAGCTCCCAAAAGCTAGGCCAATAAAATGTGCAAGCTCTGGCCACTCCCTCCCTGGCTGAGCAGGCTTGCACTACTGGGCTAGAGGTGGATGGACTGTATGGCTGCAGTTAAAAGACTCATCTAGCTAAATATAAAAAGGCTCAGAGACAATGGGAATGACTTCTTCCAGCCCCAGGGCTACTCAAGATGCTCTCTAGAAAGACCTGATCTCAGCAACAATCACAAATTCCTGAAGGCCTGATAAATAACAACAACAATGATAGTAGTAGTAGTAGCATTTAAGGTTTGCACAGTGCTTTACAAAATATTATCTCATTCGATCCTCACAACCTGGGAGGTAGGTGCTATTCCTATCCCCATTTTACAGATGAGGAAACTGAGACACAAAGAGTGACTTGCTTGGAACACAACACAACAAGCAAATGTCAGAGGCAGGATTTGAACTCTCATCTTCCAGACTCCCAAACAGGAGTTTCATGGGGACTCAGAGAAGAGGGTGGAGGAGAGGGAAGGACCAGTCACTGAATGGTGACTTTGACTGAAAGTCATTTCATCCCTTGATTCTCAGGATCTGGGATCGGAGACTTTGCAGACCCACACGTCCAGGGTTCCGCAGTCCTGGCCTAGATCTCCCATCCATCCTTAGCCTCAGTCCTTGGAATGACCCTTCCAACCCACCCCCACCCCACGGAGGTCCCAGATTCAAATCTAACCCTGCCACTTCCTTCCTGTGTGACTTTGGATAAGTCCCTTTCTCGGCCTCAGTTTCTTCATCTGTAAAATAGGAGGTGGGCTCAATGACCTCTGGGGGGGGGTCCCTTCCAGCTCTGAATCGAAGACTCTAGCAATGCTGAGCTCTGCAGGCCTCCCCCCCACCGCTGGGCCTAGCAACGGCCTCTAGACACCGGACATGACCCCACCCACACCCCGGCCCCTCCCCCCAAGCTCCTGGCTCCGTCTGAGGGGGCTGCCGAGAGCGAAATCTCAAGAGGTGCTTAGAGATCACCGAGGGCGAGCCCTTCGTCCGGCGGAGGCCCAGAGACGGGCATCGGCTGGTCCGAGCAGCACAGCACTGACCGGTCGGGAGGCCGGAGGCCTCGGCCTTCCGAGACTCCGGCTCCCGGCCTGTGAAAACCCCGCATGGCTTCGCATGGGGACGAGGCCAGGGGACACAGAAGGGCCGGAGACCGAGGTCACTCACCAAGCCCTTCGAAGCCGCAACCGAAAGCAGAGCCTCTTTACGGCGGCCGTAAAAGACCAGGGAGGGCGCAGGCGCAGACCGAGCTGTCCGCTCGTGCCGAGACCCGCCCAGCCCCGAGCGAGGGGGCGGGTCTCAGCAGGAAGTACCCCGACCGGAGAGCGCAGGCGCAGAAATGAGGGGCGGGTCCCAGAGGGCGCTGCCCTGACCGGAGAGCGTACGCGTAGGGAGGCGGGGCGAACAGCCATTGACGTTTTCTTCATGAGGTTCTACTTCTACAGCTAGGAGCGACCTCTGAGGTCGTTTAGAAAACTGAGGCACATAAATATAAAAGGACCATAGATGTAAAACTATCGAGAGACATGCTTCCTTTTGGGCCTCAGTTTCCTACTCTGCAAAATCTTGATAATAAAATTTACGTTACTTGCTTCCGGGATTGTTGCGAAGAAAGCGCTTTATAAAAATGCATGTCATTTTTGCAGTGTGAACTCTGATTATTATGATCATATTTAAAGTTCTCAGAAGTCATCTAGTCCAGCCTACACACACACACACATTTTGCAGATGAGGAAACAGACCCAGGGAAGTTTCATGATATGGAACGTAAAACAAGTAGCAGAGACAGGATTTGAACCCAGTTCTCTCATTCCCGAATCATACGCTTTCTCCCCCACCACAGCACCTCCCTCAGTGCATCTTCAGTGCCCAGTAGTAGTAGGACTTGCACAAGTCAGGACTTCATGTTTAGGGCTTTGCAAATCTTAAAAACACACACACATATATTTATGTGTGTATGTATGCATATGTTTATATGTAAACTACTATTATTAATAATAACCTGTGTGTGTATCCCCTAGTTAGTAGTATGTAAACTCCTTGAGGGTAGGAACTATCACACCTGGTAAATAGCAGAAGCTTAATAAACGTTGGTCCAACTGACAGGATAACTTTTTTGGACAGATTTGTGATTTCGTTGGTGTAGGGAACTCCCCTTGAGAAAACTCCCTCTGCTGATGCAAATCAGCACCTGTTCTGCAGCTGGTTAGTATTTATTAAGTCTCTACTATGTGACAGGAAGAATGTGTCAGAGGCAGAGCATTCACTGTCTTGAGTCCAGCTCTTTACATCCCATTCCAATTACTATCGTCATCTTACTCTTTTCATCTTTTTTTATTGGGTTCAGAGAGAAATAGTCTTCAGATAAGCTACCAATGTACTATTATTCTTTTCTAATTAATATTCTATAAATTGTAATCATAGAAGGATAAGATCATTACTTTTTGTAGCTTAATAAAAGTATTAGGATATAAGTTCATCATCTGTAAGCTCTCCAAAAACATCCTCAGCTCAACTCCACTTGCAGACAGGATGACATGAAATCTCAGAGCCCATCTAATCCAGCCCTCCCCTTCATTTTACAAGTGAGGAAACTGAGACCCAGAGAAATTATCTTGTTCCCACAGGATTCTGATCTCCTCTGCAAGGTCTCTACATCTTGAAAGGTTTTCATTCCAAGTAGTTTGGAGATGATGAATATTTGGTGTGGTGACACCTATTAAGAATGTTGCTCATAAGTTTTTATTTTTTTTTGTTTAAATCTTTATTTTTACATAGGGAAAAATCAAATATACATTTAACCCAATTTGGTTGCAAGTTATTTAGCTTTTACCTTTTCCAGCTTGGCAATACGAGCCACTGATTTTGGACCCAGAACATTGCCACCCCAGTGACGACGGATCTCATCCTATCTGTCGTTGTAATTGGTTTTGATGGCTTCTACTAGCTTAGCCAAGGCTCCCTTATCTTCAGGGTTAACCTGTGTGAAGGCAATGCTTGTGCACGTCTTTCTGTGAACTAAGAGACCCAGCCTGGCCTTACCCTTGATAATACAGTAAGGAACCCCCATTTTTCGGCACAAGGCAGGTAGGAAAGCCACTAGCTCAGTGGGGTCCGTGTCATGTGCAATCACTACCAACTGTGCTTTCTTGTTTTCTACCAGGGTAGTAACAGTGTTAACACCTGCTCTGAGGACAGGTGGTCTCTTAGTGGGGACATCTCCTTTGCCAGAAGCGTTTTGTTCAGCCCCAGCCAGCAGCCTTTGCTTCTTATCTTGCTTTGTCTCAGGTCTGTACTTGTGAGCCAGTTTAAGCAGTTAAGTAGCTGTCTGACGATCCAAAGCCTGGGTGAACTGGTTAATTGCTGGTGGCACTTTCAAACACTTATAAAGGATAGACCTTTGATGCTGCAGTCTGATGTACCAAGGCCATTTAACAAATCGAGTAAGGTCCCTTTTGGGCTGGATGTCCTGACCAATGCCAAAGTTTTTTGGCCGCTTCTCAAACAAAGGATTGACCACTTTCTTGGCCTCCTGTTTCTTTACTACAGCAGGGGCTAGAGCCACCTTCTTCCCCTTTGGCATCTTGGCCGGCTGAACGAGAGCCGTAAGTTTTTATAAATCACTCCATTTACTGTTTGGAAGGAGTTGCCTTTGGGAAATTGTAAAAATTCCTTTTAATGACCCCAAGCTTCCCGTGGAAACAAAGGTCCATCTTTTTAGTACCAATATCCTACCAATGTTACTGTATGGCAGTGAGGCATGGAATTTAACAGTCTCGGAAGTATTAAAAATTGTGATATGGAAGACAATGGAAAGATGTACAATGTGTATGAGCAGGCTTCAACATATAACCAATGAGGGACTTTGAAGAAGAGTGAGAATAAAAGATGTCATCAGGGGATGGACTGGTCACATGCCAAGGGGAAAGATGAAAAGTGGACAACTTGACTGTTCCACATTACCCATGGGTATCAAGAAGAGCAAGTCTGATGGACCCCCAGTGGAAAATTCATGAGACAAGATGGGCAAGAAGTGTACAGAATGGTCAGACCTTGGATGGATTCCAATCTGCATCATAAGAGGGAACTTTGGTACTGCTGAAATCACAGGTCTATTTCAATAAGTGAGGATTCTTACCCTCATCAAAATTATTATTATTGGGACAGCTAGGTGGCGCAGTGGATAGAGCAGTGGCCCAGGATCCAAGAGGACCTGAGTTCAAATTCGACCTCAAGACACATAACACATACTAGCTGTGTGACCCTAGGCAGTCAACTTAACCCCATTGCCTAGTCAAAAAAAATTATTATTATTATACAAAAGTAGCTAGGTGATATAGTAGATAGAGAACTGAATCTGGAGTCAGGAAGACTTTACTAGGTGTGTTACTTTGGGTAAGTCACTTAATCATCATCTGCCTCAGTTTCCTCATCTGCAAAATGGAGATAACGATAGAACCTACACAGGTTTGTTGTGAGACTCAAATGCAAATGAGACTGCAAATCTTTAAAGTGCCACATAAATGCTATTAATAATAATAATAATAAATGGAACAGTCCCAAGCTTTTTTGCAAGCTTTGAAGCAACCAGAATCAAAAGCAGAAAGAAGTCTTGGGAATTTATCTACATAACTACTTAAGGAGGGGTAAACCAGCCCAGATCAGAAATGGATCAAAATTAGAGATTCCACACCAAACAGTAGTGATTGT